CGCTATTGTCCAGTCGCTCATCGCTTCCAAGGGTCACAAACGCGACGAGAATAGTCTCCGCAATTTTAAAACGATTAGAAGATATTTCCAAGGATCCTGCGACATAGTGAATTTAGGTGTGTTCTCAACTGATTTTCAGGTCAAAAGCAGTTTGTACAAAAACGCCAAAGATAATGACCGCCGTGTTTACACATTCGTCCTCGACAAAACCGCGTGGCTCGAAAGTTCGCGCATGCTATTCTGTTTCTATTCTGAGGACGTAATTGCCATTGAGGTGAGAAAATAGAAAGTCCCCCCTCAGATTTCTCGTATTTCCTTCGGTGAAATTCCTTAAAATCTGGCAGAGATGTTAGACCTTTTTAGCTCTCCTTGCTGTGAACTTATCAAAAAAATTTGTAAGACAAGTTTTTCGCTCATCCAAAAAACAACAAAAATGTTAAAAGCGAAAAAACTACCTTGACAACCCCTATTTTTTTCGATTTTAAAAGTTTCGTCTTGTCAGACTCTACCCGGTCGGAGAATAATAGAAAATTTCACCGAAGGAAATTGAAGAAAATTAAAATCAAAGTCAAACAGACGTCAAAAAATGGCGATATTTGAGTGGTTTTAATTTGGGACTAAAAGGCTTGACCTTAGGGATGACTGTTGTACAGCAAATTTAGGCCATTGTTTTTTATGTTTCAGTACCTTTGATTTGAAAAATAGCAAAAACAACGAGAATATTAACTTTCCATTGATGTCAATGGCGCGCGCTTCGTGATCTTGCATAACCCTATTGAGCCACCTCAATAGTGATCGAGATGGTATTAGAATTTGCGATATCAAAGCAGTTTTATAACATAACCTAAGTAATTAGCGCGCTCTGATTAGTCAATTCAACGTCCACCATTTTCCCATGGGTGTATGCTGCTGACGTGAGCAAATGCATAGACTAGTTTTCCGCACGCGCTTGTTTTTTTCTGGTCACGTAAGATTTGTTAAATAAAAGAAAACTCTCTTGCAACAATGTATCAATGTTATGTTATTTTACAAATGATAAACGCCACAGTGTACACTATTGAGTTATAGATGCACTTTGGAGGTTTGCCAAGCACTCAAGAAGCTAGAGTCGCTCTTGGCTATTGCCTCGCGCGACTCTTACGCTTCTTTCGTGCTTAGCAACCGCCCGCGTGCATCCATGGCTTAACAAGAGTGGGATGTAATTTGAGTTATTAATTTGTATTATTCTTTGTACTGCTCCCAATCGAAGTTTTCATCCCTAATACTGCTCATTAGTCCTTTGTATAACCTAGTAAAGTTATTCTTACGTGTTCAGGAAAACTTTTAGTTCAGCTTATTTTTAATCGAAATATAAGATCAAGCGTCTAAAGTACATGTAAACGCCGTAGAATCCCTAACGCCGAATAGAGGTAAATCCTTTAACTTTTTACATCTTTTAATGCAATCGAGAGTTTATTTTGAAGGTTTACCATAGCTTTTTTATTGTGTTATAGTCATAGCTTTTAGAGGAGGAGCCGTGGCCGAGGAGTCAGGGTGCTGCTTTTGTAATCTGGTGTCTCGGGTTCAAATCCTCCACCCTGCCACTCACCTAATTTGTTCTCGGTTTCCCCCAGTTCAGCTCTTCGGCTGTGCTCTGTAAATGGCCCACTGGTCTGCTTCCTGCCAGCGGGGATTTTTAAGCACTTAGTTAGTTTATATTGTGGCTGAAAAGCCCCTCAAGGGGAGCTTCAATTTACGTATTTCATTTTCATTTAATTGTTTTTCTTTTCTATTGGTTGTATTTACTTCTTACTTTTCGAAACCACTTTATACTGTTTTGTAAATCGTTTACTCTGCTTCGCTATGCATCATTTTATCTCCAAGTCCTGCTTAACGTCTCATGGCTTCGCTTCAATAAACTTTGGTTACATTTTTACCGTCGTGAAAAACATTATGATTGCCGTTTCTTAAATATTTTTCTGTTTTTACGTGGGATTAACTGATCATCCTGAGAGTAACGTTCCGCGCTGACACTGCCTTCGTTTTTGACGTGAGGCCTAGCTTTTCCCAGACTTACTGTGTTCTCGTTTAGGTTGTGCGGGGGCTGTTGCGCGAATCATGAACACTTTTCACACATTTCTTTTTTACCACACTTAAAAACAATAAATCCCAGCCCCCTCCCTATCTCTTACACGCAATACGTAGTGAAAAGTTTGCAAGACTTGACATAACACATAAGGCTAGGTGCTGATTAAGAGCAAATGTGGCCAAAAATGGAATATTTTCAAAAGGTGATGGCAACGGCCAAAAAATCGACTCAGCTCAGATTCTCAAGTTGTAGGCCTTATGGTGAAACAAAGCACTGTATACTTCGTTTGGCTTAATATAGATTTATTTTCGAGAAAATCGATAATTAACCAAATCTCGCCAAAATGCCGCTTTTGAAGCTCAAAACATCAGACGAATCGCACGCCACGAGTTGAAAACACTTGGGCCGATAAAATGTACCAAATCTTGAAAAACAACTTCAATACATATGTTCACGGGTCTCTGTAAAACGCAGACCGGATAGATGCGGATGGCGGATGCGGATGGCGGATGCGGATGGCGGATGCGGATGGCGGATGCGGATGGAAAAA